GGGCGCACCCCCCTTGCTTGGGGGGCAAGCCCCCCACCCCTTGGCCGCCCCCCTAGGGTTTTCCCTAGAGGGCCGGCCCCCCTTGCCCTTTCCCCTATATATAGAGGGGTGAGGGGAGGGCTGCAATACACCACAAGCCAAGGCGCAGCCCCTCCCCTCCCCAACACCTCTCCTCCTCTGTACGTGCTTGGCGAAGCCCTGTCGGAATACTGCCGCATCAACTGCACCACGCTGTCGTGCTGCCGTTGGAGCTGCCTTCCTCAACCTCTCCTTTCCCCTTGCTGGATCAAGAAGGAGGAGACGTCTCCCGTCCCGTACGTGTGTTGAACGCGGAGGTGCTGTCCGTTCAGCACTTGGATATCGGTGATCCGAATCACGTTCGAGTATGACTCCATCATCACCATCCCCTTGGCAAGCTTCCGCTCGTGATCTACAAGTGGTATGTAGATGCAAACTCTCTCCCTTGACTCGTTGCTTAGATGAACTCATAGATGGATCTTGGTGAAACCGTAGGAAAAATTTTAATTTTCTGCAACGTTCCCGAACACACATACCCAGATTCATGATTCTTTGACACATGGATGAGAAATTTGGGCAAGTGTACTGTTACTGTCATCCCACTAAACGTGCTACAACTAAAAACAGATTTGACAGCAAACAACTGAACACGCTACATCGAATCTTAAGGTATTCAGTCCTGACTTTTGACAATCTTGCCTACTTCTCCTCTTCAGCTAAATTTAACATTCATCAATGCCAAAACTAAAAACTAGAAACTGAATATAGACCCGTGCTAGTACCTTTGAGTCCACGGAACTGGAATGGGATGCGATTCGGGCTGGGTCTCTTCTACGTCGTCAATATCTGGGACGTTGGAGAAATATGGCATAGCCTCCTGATCTTCAGGAGTTCCTGAATCTGTGGCATCAGATTTCTCTCCAACGTGGCTTGAAGAAGGAGAATGATTCTGGAAATTAGGATGGATGCGCTCTTCGCCCTCCTCCTCCTCGTCCTCGACCTCCTCCTCCTCCTCCTCCTCCTCCTCCTCCTCCTCTAGCAATCCCAGATCTGGGACGCCCTCTGTTGCGGCCGGCTGGGAACAAAATCTGCCGCAGGCAATGGCAAGATGAGGATTGCTGCCCTTTGGAGAAAATGCGCCGACGAAAAAGAGGATCCACAAGACGAGGAGATACCTAAAGAGGAGATCCGTGAATGACTCTGCACCGCGATTCATCGTTGAATCGTGAAGCAACCTAGGGATCCAGGCGCGTGGACGGGGAGGCCGTGGTTCGTCCGCTCGATGCAGCTGCGTCTGCCTGCTTCGATTCGAATTTTGAATCGCGGATGGGGATGGTCGGGGGTGGGGGCTGGTCACGGGGTAGTGGACGGGGGGTAGGCGAGTACATGCTACACGTCGTGCGTAGGTAGGATGGCAGATACGATAGGACGTGTATTCTCTCCGTATACGCTGAGAAAAGAGGAGATAGGCACAATCTAGTGGGTCCGTGTGGGGCCTGGGGCGCTGATCCACACGACGAGCGGACGACGTCGATACGAGTTGTGCGTCTAACTAGTTAGGAATATGCCCGTGCCCACCCCAACTCGTTTATATACTCACTCCGCAAATATACTCACTCCGCAAATATGGCTATTCCTAACTAGTTAGACGCACAACTCGTATCGACACCGTCCGCTCGTCGTGTGGATCAGCGCCCCAGGCCCCACACGGACACACTAGATTGTGCCTATTTCCTCTTTTCTCAGCGTATACGGAGAGAATACACGTCCTATCGTATCTGCCATCCTACCTACGCACGACGTGTAGCATGTACTCGCCTACCCCCCGTCCACTACCCCGTGACCAGCCCCCACCCCCGACCATCCCCATCCGCGATTCAAAATTTGAATCAAAGCAGGCAGACGCAGCTGCATCGAGCGGACGAACCACGGCCTCCCCGTCCACGCGCCTGGATCCCTAGGTTGCTTCACGATTCAACGATGAATCGCGGTGCAGAGTCATTCACGGATCTCCTCTTCAGGTATCTCCTCGTCTTGTGGATCCTCTTTTTCGTCGGCGCATTTTCTCC